GGCGGCGGCGGCGGTGGCGGTGGAGGGTCGGGTTACGGTTCCGATGGCGGTGGGGGCTCTGGGTTCGGTTCGGGGTACGGCTCCGGGTACGGGTCGGGAAGCGGTATAGGAGGGGGCAGTGGTGGCGGGGGCGGGGGCGGGGGCGGGGGCGGGGGCGGTGGGGTGGGATATGGAAGCGGCACGGACGAGTCAGGTTACGGCTACGGTCGTGGAAGTGGATCGGGATACGGGTATGGAAGCGATGGAGCAGGTGGCGGTGGTGGTGGGGGTGGTGGCGGAGGAGGAGGAGGCGGCGGCTCCGGCGATGGTTCTGGGTTTGGAAGTGGCTTTGGGTATGGCGAGGGTTACGGGATGGGCGGCGGCGGTGGTGGCGGGGGAGGAGGAGGCGGCGGTGGCGGAGGCGGGGGCTTGTCCTATGGCTTCGGTCCTGGGATGGGATTTGGTTACGGGCCGTGGTACGGGTCCGGCTTCGATTCGGGCTACCGAGGCAGCCGCGTAGGCGGCCGCGAGTAACCCTGGCCCATGTGGCTCAGCTTTTGTCTGAATAATAAGGGACCCACCGATACTACTGTACCCATTCCATTGTATTGGCAATGGTGTATGATTAGGTATTGTAATACATCAGTAAGCACAAATCTTGATGCGATATTGCATACATTAATAAGACAAAAGGAAAACCATTAGCAGAAAGATACTATATAATTCTTCTAGCTAACTATATTAACATAGATAAGTATAACGTGTCCATCGACCATCTTATATCTCGTACAGCTTCATGCAAAACTACTAAACGACCAACTGCAGCAGTAGACTAAATTGCCACAGAAGAAGGAAGCATCGCAGCATTTGAATGCACATTCCATGCACTAGCTGTATAGATCATCATCGTCATCAGCTCCAGCAGCAGGTGTGCCGAATGGATCAGATCCTGTCGTTGCAGCTCGTTCAGCGAACCGGAACTCGGTCCCAAAACCCCTGGATTGTTGCAAGGTTTGTGCAAACGCCTGGTATTTCCTGATGTCTGCATCACTGACACTCCTCCTGGCAAACTTCATCGACTCCTCGAAATGAACAGCTTTTATTTCTGCAACTTCATCAGCGTCATCCTCCTCCATAGCTTCAGGATTCTCACTCCTCCTCCTCTCCCTTTCTATATCCTGCAGTAAAAAAGAACGTAATATGAACATTTCTTGATAATAGTCTTAAGTATAATTCTGCAGAAGTATTTTGCATGGTTAAATCTAATGTGATCAAATACTTGATCACATTAGGTAGAAGAATGTTAGAGGGAAAAAAGGGCTGTGAAGCAAAACGAACCCATGGCTTGGCTTATAAAGATTTGACAATCAAGAACAAAACGAAAAAGCTTACCTTTTCGATATTCTCTCTGATTGCATATTTACAAGCACGCTGGCAGATTTCTGTGATATCTGCACCACTGAAGCCCTGAGTGAACTTAGCAAGAGCCCTCAGGTCGACGTCTTTTGCAATAGGGGACTTCCTCAGGCAAGCTTTAAAAATCTGGAAACGAGAATCTTCATCAGGCAGAGGAATATAAATTAACTGATCGAGACGGCCAGGCCTGAGCAGTGCTGGATCTATGATATCGGGCCTATTAGTTGCTCCAATGATAAATACAGTTTTCTTGGCAGTCATGCCATCCATCTCGGTCAAAAGCTGATTAAGAACCCTGTCAGCAGCGCCCCCTGCATCTCCAACATGACTCCCTCTCTATGACAATGGAGAAACTATTATTTACCATTTTTTAAATTCAATAAATTTTCAAGAGAAGGAAGAAAACTGTAACCTGAGTTGCGATGGAATCCAGCTCATCAAAAAAGAGGACACAAGGTGCAGACTGACGAGCCTTGTCAAAGATTTCTCGAACATTTGCTTCACTCTCACCAAACCACATGGTGAGAAGTTCTGGACCCTTGACACTGATAAAGTTTGCTTGGCACTCATTTGCAATTGCCTTAGCCAACAAAGTCTTCCCACAACCAGGAGGCCCATAGAATAGGACTCCCTTTGAAGGCGACATGCCAAATTTTTCGAACTTCTCTGGATGTTCAACAGGGTATTGGACAGTCTGAAAAAAAAGAGAGAGAGAGAGAGAGACAGCACAACCAACCCATTAGTCAGATTTTTAGAGAGCAGCAAAAGATTGACAAAAATACCATTTCTTAGAACTACCTCTTGTAATTCCCTCTTAACATTCTCGAGACCACCAATGTCATCCCAGCTGACATTAGGCACTTCAACAACCTATATATATATATGCAATTCAATAAATTATTTGAACGAATTGTATTTTAAATAAACAATAGTGACCAGCAAACAAAGTCTATGCCAAAATCAAAGTAGGTCTACTTACAGTCTCACGAAGAGCAGAGGGATTGCTGGTTCCAAGAGCAGTTTTGAAATGGTCATTGGTAACAGCCATAGAATTCAGTATCTCAGCATCTATAGATTCATCCTCAAGGTCAATGATGTCCATTTTCTCGCGTATGCACTGAAGAGCAGCTTCAGTGCACAAAGCAGCTAGATCAGCACCAACATACCCATGGGTGTCCTTAGCAATTCCTTCCAAATCAACCTGCACATATGTCAAGTATCAATCATTGAAATATGACATACAAATTACATGATGCAAGAAAAGATGTTTATTCATCAATTACATTACATCTTCAGCTAATTTCATGTTCTTGGTATGTATACGAAGAACTTCCAGGCGGCCAACTTCATCAGGCACCCCAATGTCAATCTCCCTATCAAATCTCCCAAATCTTCTGAGAGCTGCATCAATACTGTTTGGCCGATTTGTTGCACCGATAACGATTACATGTGAACGTGCCTTCAGTCCATCCATCAGTGTCAAAAGTTGAGAAACTATGCGCCTCTCAACTTCTCCATGGGTCTTTTCCCGCTTTGGAGCAATGGAGTCTATCTCATCAATGAAGATAATTGATGGTGCATTTTTCTCAGCTTCTTCAAAAGCTTTCCTAAGGTTACTTTCACTTTCCCCAGCTAATTTTGACATTATCTCAGGTCCATTAATACAAAAGAAAAATGCCCCTGTTTCATTGGCCACAGCTCTTGCAATCAATGTCTTTCCAGAACCAGGGGGTCCATACAGTAATATGCCTTTTGGTGGCTTCACACCAATGGACTTGAAAAGCTGAGGGTGCCGGAGAGGAAGCTCAACTAATTCTCGGATTTGTGCCATCTGCTTTCTTACACCACCTACGTCATCATAGCCTACTTCATCAAGTCTCTCTTCATCCTCTCTTTTAATAGGCTCCCCATCACAAAAGATCTCAGTCTCAGGGGAAACAATGCAATACTCTGGTGGGTCAGTTTCAATCACCTTGAACTCAACACTACGCATACCACCTCTAACAAGGAAGAGATCCCCTTTCCTAACAGGTCGGTATGCCTCCATGAAATATGCTGCAGAAAATCAGAAAAAGAAAGGTCACCATCTAGCTAATGCTGTAAAAATAACATCTTCCAATAGCATTAAAAGTAATCACAACTTCTTACAAAAAAGAACAATATTTAGTAGATTACAGACTAGTTTCAACTACAAGGTAGATACCACACAAAATTCTAGAATTGAATCAAGACTATGAAACAATTTTAATACAATTACAAGTCCACCATTAATCCACCCCAGAACAACTTGGAAAAAAAAAAAAAAAAAGAACTCTCATCAGTAAGCATTTAAAAAATAAATTAGTGGATTGTGAAAAACTCCATAACACAGTAAAAGAAATCCTCAAGAAAACTCTTCATAGTGCATTTATATTCAGCAAAAATATCATCAAATGTGATTAAAAATAATTTTCAGGAAGGTATCTTGCAAAACATCATGAAATTGTGCATACATATATTAGAAGAAATTTTAATCTAAGTAGGTGGTGTCAAACAAAAAACAATCAGGGGAAGAAAAATGTTAAAAAATCTGAATCTTTCTACAAAGACCAATTTCAGATTCATCCAAAACCTAAGAAAAACCATACAGAAAAAAGATAAGGTACATGGTGACGAAAAATATGACTTCAGTTCCCTGAAAGGAATGCAATGTATCCCACAAAACAAATTGACTCATCGATTGAAGCTTCTTATGTTCAATAAAGGAAACTAATTCTTAACTTATTCAGAGCTTTTTTGTTATGTCTGCTATTGCAGGCTCAAGTTAGAACCAATTAGGAGACACATCTCTCCTAGCAATGAAAGGAAGGAACCAAAGGTGAACGCAAAAGAATCTCATTCATCTTACCTTATCTTGGAAGTGATAAAATATTTCTCGTTACCAGTTCCACACTTTATAACCAGAAAATGATACAAAAAGCATTACCATGGTTGAATTTTCATCAGAGGGAATAATAAGGAACCTAGTGTTTCTCCCACGCAATGATAGCACCAAGTAAAACAGAAATATTGTAGAGAAGCTCATAATTCAAACTTGAACTTCTTTCAGTAAAAAATGATAAAAGAGAGAGAGAGGTGTTTCCACAAAAGATTGTCATTGTGGTATAAGAGCAAGTAAAGACTAAGCTCAAATGAGCAGTTGGTTCCACTGAATAACATAGCAGTTATGCAGATAAAATGAACAGTTGGCTCCCCTAAGAACATCCACTGAGAACTAAAGTAGCAAACATTTATGTGACACTATTGTTGCCAAAATGGAATACCGTCAAATCATTCTCCAACATACTGACTTTAGTAAGCTATGGTTTGAAAACATTCATAGATAAATAAGCTACTTTCTAAAGAAAGCTTTATCTCTATAGAAGTTCAAAATTGATATATTACATAACTGTTAATTAATTAGGATTCATTTATAATCTTTGTCATTCCGGTGAACCCTAAATAAGCTGAAGCTCCTGCACAAAGCATATCGGAGCATATTTCCTAGTTTCAATGATGGCAGATCAAATCATCAATACCATGACAAAGATGAAAAATATCTAAAGATGAAGATTTTGGCAATGAGGACAAGGATAATCATGAAGTGATGTGATGTGACAATGACACATTGCGATATATATATATATATATATATATATATATATATATGAGGGCGAACCCTGCATGTAAGCCCTATAAAATCATCACAAGAAATAAAACAGAGCCCATTTATGGGCAGAAAAATTCATGCAACATAATGCATGCACTATTTCATTGTTCCCGCAGCCCACATCAGTGAAGGACCTGACCTGTTTTTGAACACAATATGACAGTCGAAGTTCAGAAAGAAATGGCAGTAGCATCCTTGGGAGGATAAGTAGCTCTTCAATTTTATTGTGCTCTTTTTTTATTAAACTCACAGAATTGGAAGCAGAAAGACATGGTCTACAGACATGGTCATGAAAATGCTAATGTACTCTCAGGAACAGTCATACATACAAAAAGATTAAAGAGACCTCATGAATAAAACAAGCAAAATAGATCACTAAGAAAGCAGTACAAAACTTACGCTTTAAATAAGCATCAAACAAGTTCCCTGTAATGCCTTCAATGGTATCATCTATAGGAAGTATATGGACCCTCTTTCCATATTTCACATCCGGGCACTGGTGTACAGATACCACATCGCCAAGCCTCACTCTGAGATTAGACCTGACAACCTTATTCATCCTTATCTTGGGTTCATCACATGTATCATCAGCAAGTGCAATGCAAATCGTGTCCCTCCGCTTCTTGCCCTAAAAGCATTTCTCAGAAAGAGAAGAACAATAAAAAATTCCATTAACAGTAAGCCTTTAAGCATACAAATGCACTAAGAAACAAAAACCAAACAATTAATTTTTCTGTTTATTAAAAAGGTATATATAGTCAAACATAATTTTCTCTTATCAGGAAGAGTAAGAAACCTTTGTCCAAAATTTTTAAGAATCTGCAGTTCGAAATTTTGATAGCAACTGACTATGTCAGACATAAAATATTTCTCCCAAAAGATCCTAATTTTGACAAATATCCTCCAATAAAAATCTAAGCAAGCACATCTGATCTGAAGAATACATTTCTTTTCATGTAAAAAGACAGAAATTTAAATCAAAAGACTTGATCATCGATTCTAGAAGTCATTCTCTTCCCTCTAACGTTGTAACTCCGATATTCGACTGTCCCAGAACTCCATCAGACCCTTTTGCTCCACCAAAACCCTATCTTTCCCGACGACCAACAAGCAACAGAACTGTTACCTTAAGGAGGACCGTATCCCCGCGGAAAAGCTGCAGCTTCTCCATCGTCTCGGGGTGCAGCACCACCACCGAATTGTCATCGTTGATCGCCTCATCAACGACCAGACGATTCGGGGCCTTCTTCCTCTCAAGAATCGCGGTGCTGTAGTCCCTCTTCGTCCCCTTGCTGCAATCATTCACCCCACAAGAACAAATCAAAACCCTAAACCTAAAACCCAATTGCTCAAATCGAAACCACTCAGACCAATCGCGTCGACGGAGGAGAAATCTTACGGGTCGTCGGAGGAGGAGGTCGCCTCGCCGGGGTTCGCCATCAGAACTCGACTTCCTAGGACCGAATCGGGTCGAAGACACCTTGAAGGGCTTGCGCGAAGCGTCATTTATAGGAGCCGGCGATTCATAATCCTACTCATTCTTGAAAATCTACCAACTTATATTACCCTGTGGGTCCCGCAATTATGTGCATTCATTAGTGAAGGTCAATTCCGAGTAGGTCTTGAGAGGGTAGAAAGAGTACCGCCAAGATTAATGAAAGCACACCATAAGGCGCACAAACTCGTTAACGTAACTCGTGGCAATCTCCGTCGGCCGCAAGCGCATGCGACTTACTGATGACGTGGTGCGTTTTGATTGGTTGAAACATGAATGAAGTGGTAGCTGGCGATCTCCACGTGTGTATATATATATATATATATATGCTTTACCTTCTTGGATGGACGACTTGGGAAACAAGGCATTCCAAGATGCTAAAGGGCTCAAATCAAAGGCATAAAAAGGTAAAGGGAACACAATATGATCTAATAGTTGCATTTTGGTTAGGAAATTGTTCGGATTTGAATAAAATAAAAAAAAATTTGATCTCATGAAGCACATAAGATTGAAATAATATTTCAATTCAGATACATGAGGAAAAGAGAGAGAGAGAGAGAGAGACTTCTAGACTCTATGTTGAATGAGAAACAGGGGAAAGAAAGCATAAAATAGAAACTGCTTTAGCAAGGAAACAAAAGGAGGGATGATAATGAGCTAAGAAAAGAAAAGAATAAGGTTTTTTTTTTGCTCATTTTTCTTATTTTTAGGTATTGATTAACCAAGTTTGGGATAAGTAAGAACAAAAATAAAAAGATTTAAGACATATTTGAATATCCAAGAAATTAATCATACATTATTGTCCACATGTAATAGCTTAATCTTGCTGCTATCATTTCAATTATGGAAGAGAAGCCAATCAATCTCCCCTAAACTATCCCCCCCTCACCTTCCTACTAGATTCCTGAATCAGTCACAGTATTTGAGTCAATCATACACCAATTCCTTGAAAACCATTGTTTAAGGACAGGACCTTCAAGACCAAGTACTGAGATGTGCAGAAACAATGTTCAACTCTTGCAACTTGCAACTCCCCTGACAATGACCAACACAGGTGTTTGTGATTTCAGAGACCATACTCTGGTGGAGAGAAAGATAAGAATGAAGAGGTGATTATGGTGGATTTTGTGGTTGCTGCTTATTGTTGACTTGTCCATCTGAATACACCAAGTTCCTCAAAGGAAGGAACTGTTCTATCTATCTAAGCATGGGAGGCCAGTGACAATGAAATCTGAAGCACTCCAGTGTCAAGAACTGAAGTGAGAGATCAGCAGCTCCACTGTACTGCTGCTGTGTGTGTGTGTGTGTCTGTGGCAGCTCAATCCAGCTGCATGAACCCTCCACTTTCATCTCACACCAAGCTCTGACTTATTGTTTCTCAGAATGATCAGTGATTTGAATCTACTTCCAATCATTCCTTCTGGATCTCCCACTGTGAGGCTTCAAGTCTCAGGATAGTAGGGTTTTCAGGTCTACTGCTACCTGTGGTACTGCTGTTTGCCCTAAGTTGTGGGCTGAATCCAAGGACTGATAGGGCTATAAGATCATGCTCAACAAGGCCCTGTAAATGCTTTAGACTCAACACACACTCAAACTGTGCTCAAAATCAAATGCTTTTGCTTCACCTTCCATCTGTGTTCAATAATTCTGGATCAAATCTATTCAAATAACTGCTGTGTAATCTTCCAAGAACTTGGAAAGTATCAGACAAATATTGCACTGCCAACCTTTCCCAAGAAAACAATGACTACTATGGCATGTCTGTAGGCTTTTCCCAAGACCAATGACAGCTAGTTTTGTTGCATATGAGTATCCAATCCCCCTGCTCACACCCTTCTTCTTCCTCTACCTTCAACCATCTTTCTACGATGTATCAGAATAGAATACGAGGTCTGCTGTCTTCTTCTACCTTGTTTTCTCTTGAGAAGTCAAGATCTTTCTTACTGTCCATCAAAGCTGGCCAGTCTTTCTTTACAGATATTAAGTGGATAAAGATTGATTTGTAGGGATTGAAAGAGGAGAAAAAGAAGATGGTTTTTTTTTTCTTTTCCAACTTTTCTTTAAAGTAGATATATATTCTTTTGTTTTCATCATCAGTCTCAATCTATTGAAACAAATTAACATCTAATTAGAGAGATCACATCAAAGACACCTCACTACTTTCTACAGAAACCATAGCTATAAATTTTGATTTCAGTTTCCATTTCAACTACAAATCAGAGTTTAATTTTATTTAAATTGGAAAACATTATAGTAATGACAAGAGAGAGAGAGAGAGAGAGAAAGAGATGGACTATCATGACTTTCCTGGTGACTACTTGGATATAAAGTGCATTGATTGTTCAACTCATTCAATGGTGCACAGTCCTCAAACCAGTTTTTAGTCCTCTCTATCTCTGTCACTCTGCCTCCATTATTAACACAGACCCAAAGCCTTTGTCAAAACTCATCGCTGCCTTTTGAAAGAACAATCACATGCCATGACATGAGGTGGGGTTTGGAATCCATGTGTGTGCTGTTTTCATGAAAAGGGTGTTTGACATGATCTTCAAACCTCCTCTTCAATTCTACCTCAAAGTCTGAACTGATCTTTATATTTGCTGCGTGTAATATCTGCAAGTGATCAAGAGAAGATGTGAGAAAGAAAGATGTCAAGTTCAGACAGCTATTGATGTTCATATGGGAGAAGAAAAAGAGAGGAGGAGAAACATTGAAGACACAGAGACAAGCTGATCATGAATCCTCTAAATCTTATATCAGTATCTACTGATAGATACTGGGAGCTTTCTCAAGGAAAGAAACATTGTACAGAGTGAGCAGATCTGCCACCAGAAATGAATTGGGTTTATACTGGAGGAGAACATGGAGCCCAGAGTGGGGTGTTAATAAGGGGAGTGGAAATTAAGAGAAGTTTTTGCTGCTTCAATTCCCCTCACTTCTCTCTGTTCCCACTATTTCTTCTCCCTCTCTGTTCTAAAAATCCCATCTTTTGGCTTCTGTGCAACTCTTCTCCTCAGCTGCTCTCCTCTTTGCTCCCAAAGATGCCTTCTTTGCCTCCAAAAGCTGCTCCTTTTCCTCTGTTTTCTCTCCTGCCATGTTCTTCCTTCTTCTTCTTCTTCTTGTGCTGCTTCGCGGTGTACTTCTTCTCCTTCGCTTCCTCGGAGCCTAGCTCAGCCGACGTCGTCCTTCTCCTCAACAAGATAAAGCCCGCGCTCCAAGGCTCCGCCACCAATGCCGAGCTCTCCTCTTGGAACGTTTCACTCCCCCTCTGCCTCTGGCGTGGCCTCCGTTGGTCTGCCGGTGGCAGCGCCGCTAAGATCCGGTGCGAGGACGACCTGGCCCTCCGCTCCAACCTTTCCCTCTCCTCCGACCCCTCACTCCACCTCCTCTCCATCCGCCTCCCGGCCGCCGCCCTAGCCGGGTCCCTCCCGCCGGAACTCGGCCTGTTCTCCTACCTCGAGTCCCTCTACCTCGACGTCAACTCCCTCACTGGGCCCATCCCCCTCGAGCTCGGGAACGCCCCCGCACTCTCCGATCTCGACCTCGCCGGCAACGCCCTCGAGGGCGCCCTCCCGCCTTCCATATGGAACCTCTGCGACCGCCTTGTCTCGCTCCGGCTTCACGAAAACGACCTCTCCGGCTCCGTTCCTGACCCGGCGATGCCCAGCGCGAGCTGCAACAAGCTTAAAGTCTTGGACTTGAGCAACAACCGGTTCCAAGGATCTTTCCCTAAGTTCGTTTCCGAGTTCAGTGGCCTGGAGGAGCTCGATCTTAGCAACAATCGCTTCTCCGGTTCGATCACGGACTCGCTCGCTGGCCTCGGAAAGCTGGTAAGGTTGAATCTTTCGTACAACAACTTCACAGGGCCATTGCCAGCGTCCTTCGGGGAGTCCAAGTTCAAGGCGGAGGCGTTCCAGGGGAACCCGGGGCTATGTGGGCCGCCATTGGGGAAATGCGGGTCGGGCTCCGGACTGAGCTCCGGCGCGATCGCGGGCATCGTGATTGGGTTGCTGGCCGGGGCGGTGGTCCTTGCGTCGGTGTCCATTGGCTGGGTGCAGGGGAGGAAGAGGAGGAACAGGGCAAGGAAGGCCGACGAGGAGGCGGACATGGTGTTCGAGGAGGACGGAAACGGCGGCGGAGACGGGAAACTGATTGTGTTCCAGGGCGGCGAGCACCTCTCGCTCGAGGACGTGCTGAACGCCACCGGGCAGGTGATGGAGAAGACGAACTATGGAACGGTGTACAAGGCGAAGCTGGCCGACGGTGGCAACATCTCGCTTCGTCTGCTGAGGGAAGGTAGCTGCAAGGACCAAGCGGAGTGCTTGCCGGTCATCCGGCAGCTCGGGCGAGTTCGGCATGAGAACCTGACAGCACTGCGAGCGTTCTACCAAGGGAAGCGAGGGGAGAAGCTCCTCATCTACGACTACCACCCCAGTAGATCCCTCCATGACCTCCTCCATGGTAAGTCCATTAGCAGCGATCTCCATAGTCCGACGTCTTCTGGACTGCATCACATCCAAAGCTCACGACTCTGTGTTTCGATTCGATGTCGCCGCCGCAGACACCAGAGCCGGAAAGCCGCTGCTGAACTGGCCTCGACGGCACAAGATAGCCCTCGGGGTGGCGCGGGGGCTCGCGCACCTGCACACCGGCCTGGAGACGCCCATCACGCACGGCAACGTGCGGTCCAAGAATGTGCTCATCGACGAGTACTTCGTGCCGAGGCTCACCGAGTTCGGGCTCGACAAGTTGATGGTCCCGGCCGTGGCGGACGAGATGGTGTCCGCCGCCAAGTGCGACGGCTACAAGGCGCCGGAGCTGCAGAAGATGAAGAAGTGCGGTTCGAGGACGGACGTCTACGCCTTCGGGATCCTGCTCCTGGAGATCCTGATGGGCAGGAAGCCAGGGAAGGGGACGGGCGAGGGGGCGGACCTGCCGGCGCTGGTGAAGGTGGCGGTGCTGGAGGAGACGACGATGGAGGTGTTCGACGTGGAGGTGCTGAAGGGGACAAGGAATCCGATGGAGGACGGGCTGGTGCAGGCGCTGAAGCTGGCGATGGGCTGCTGCGCACCGGCAGCGGCGGCCAGGCCGGACATGAACGAGGTGGTGAAGCAGCTGGAGGAGAACAGGTCCCGGAACAGGTCCGCACTGTATACGCCCACTGATAGGAGCGAGATCGGGACACCCTTCTGAGGCCATGGGAGCCAAATGGAGCTCTTCTTCCCGCTGGATCAGCTGCCACAGTGATCCTTCCTTCAACAGGCATCGATTCTCTGATGGTTTGATCTGCATCAACAACTTGATTCATAGTCTGCAGAGTTCTGTTCTTCCCTTACATTAGGAGAGGATTGATTTCACTATGTGTTCAGTGTGCAGAAGTCGTGAATCCTTTTGCAATCAAGAGAACAATTGATGGTGGAATTCTTCTTTTTTGCTTGAGTCGTTAGATTTTACGGTGGTCTGACGCTTCTTCTTTGATGTGAATACGAGGTTGAAGGTTACTGGCAATTTGGTGAGGACGATAGCAAACATCGAGGAGAATTAGAGAGAATAAGCATTAGTGATTTCAACAAGCAGAAGAAAACGATGATTCCATCAACATTCACATCAATCATAATCTACTTGGAATATCTTTCTCTCTCTAAAATTGACATGCCTTAAGGATATTTGATAAGGTGCATTCAATTTGACGATACATCACATCTGACTAAGCACCTAAAGAATCTAACACGTCGATCATACTATCTTATAGCTAACTATGTCGACTCAGTGTTGATATGGATATTTGATGATTCACATGGGCACTAACTTTACTAACAAGCTCTGACATCAATGTAAGCCATTATGTTGTAATTATAACTCTATGATTGATTATTGACGGATGATTTATGAGGACCAAGTTGATAGAAGATAAGATTTTCCCGACTATACGAGGAAATATTTCTATTCTGTTAAGGAAAATTTTTTATTCTGTTGAAAGAAATCCTTTTTCTTAATCTATATAAATAGGAGAGAGACATGTTAATGTATTTAAGCTTTTTCACTTCTTCAATAAAGCTTCTTGTCTTCTATTATTTTCATCATAAGTTGATGCGAAACCACTTGCAATCAAAATCAAACGAGCTTTTTTATTATCGATAATATATGATAAGATATCGAACTATTCTCTATGCTGAAAGTGTTGATTGGTGAATTGATGGAGACATAGCATGCACATCCATCGATGATTTGGGCAAATAGATTGGGAACTTTAGTTAAAGTGACATCTTGATCACATGGCTGATGGCCCCATGCATCCAAAGCCACCACCCAATACATTAAGATGGCATGCTCAACATAAAAGAGAAAAGAATTAAATATTTAATTTTATAGATAATCTCAATCAAAATATGATAGGTTTAGAACTTGTGGATTAGTCCTCCACCACATGCATGGAACAACCAATGAAAATATAAGATAACTATGATTTATTGGTAATTTTTTAAAAAAATTATGTATAATAATTCTAAATACGGATCGAGTTTATTTATGAACTAATGTAATTGTTATAGCCTTTATACACATTATCAACCATATTCTTACTTTATAAAACACTCAAAATGTGATAAATCTTTAAAATATCTTTCCAATTTTGTTTTGAAACCAATCATTTATGTAGATAGAATGGTGACATAACAAATTCAAGACTTCTTTGGTTGCACACATTTATGTATATAATTGTTTGACCTTTTATTTTGCAAACTCTATTTTTTTTGTTAAAAAAATATAAGTTTCCAACTTGTCTTCGTTCATTATGTTACAATTATTGCCTATAATTAATATTTATTGCCATCAGCGCTAATGTGTCAAAGTAAAGCAGCATGGTTGGTGGCCATATTGGCCATGCATGCAACGTTTTTGGTCCATTTTCGTGTACTGTGACGATCACGGCGAGCGGCACAAAACATTAGATATCTCAACACCCTGAAACACTCCAAGTGGCACAAGGTTGGAGGAGGGTCTTGGGATCTTGAAAGGTGCTACCCCTTACTTCGCTCATTGTTTGTTGCTCGATTGCATAGTAAAAAATAACTTACCCTTACTTCGCTCATTGTTTGTTGCTCGATTGCATAGTAAAAAATAACTTATTTTTGAGTCATTTTCACGTGTTGTGACGATCATAAGAAGTGACACGAAACCCCATGGTGGCATAGGATTGAATGGGGGCCTCGAGTATCAGGAAAGATTGCCCCTTGCTTCACTCATTGTTCGTTGCTTGTCGCTCGCTCACACAACAAAAAATGGCCTGTTTTGGCTTGTTTTTAGGCCATTTTCGCTTGCTACGATGATCGTGACAAGTGGCGTGAAACGTCAGCAATCATAGTACCGTGGAATCCCCCGACTAATACAGGGCTAGATGAGGGTTTCAGATATCAAGGAAGGTGTTGCCCCTTGCTTCGCTTATTGTTCGTCACTCATCGCTCACTCGCGCAACCAAAAATGACTTGTTTTGAACTTGTTTTTGGATCGTTTTCATATGTTAAAACGACAAGAAATGTCAATTATCTCAGCACCATAGAATTATATATATATACTATCATGGTTAATGGCCATCATTTGATTGTTCACTAAAACTTCAAATGATATTAATATCTTTAAAACTTGTTATGATTAATATATTTTAAAAAGAGGAAAGTATCAAATGACAAAAGGATGGACTATAAACTAAAAAAATGAAAAATATGAAGATCGATGATGGCGGAAAATATAAATATTAAAATTCATATAGTGAACAGAGACCCTCTAGCCAATATTCTCATTTGGTCAATGTGTGTTAAATTAAAATTATTGGTAAAAAGAAAAGAGATCCTTTTACCCACATGCATGGCATTGAAGTGCAAGGATTTGGTTTCAGAATGGATCATGTTAACACTTGAGCAAAGTAAATGTTGCTGAACTTTGAATTTTTTTAATAATAATGATTTCGATTGAAGTGACTTATAAATGAAAGAAAATTTGAAGTGTACCCTACTGAATGTGTAGATAATTCATTTTTACCATGATATGGAAGGAGACCAAAAATGGTGTGTTCTACAATTTATCTTCTTTGCACTCCCAAACTAATTCTTGTGATTGGAGTTGATCAATTTGTTGGCATTAAACCATGGAAAGGCCATTCAGATTGAGCTTTAATTGCATCAAGATTGGAAGATCAAGAGTTGTGGAGACCAAAAGAAGTTTGCCTCAAAGATGACATCATTCTCTACCTCATTGATGAGGTATACCATCAATGTTGACATGCAAATCTACTTCTCTACAGGCTTTCTTCATCTGCATTAGTTCCTCCTTTGGCAGGTAAAGCCTCAACATATATGCAGGCTTTCTGTAATAAGTGCCTGCCAATTGCACCAACTTCTTAAGGCAACTATTTGATCTCAAAGATGCATATAGATTTTTTGGCAAGAAGGCTTCAACATTTAGCCAATGCATTCACAAGTTTCCTTTCCAACTCTCTTTTCTAGATTTAACTATTTTTCTTCTCCTTTTACGACGAAAAATATGCAGAAAAACATCATCAATTTAATGGCTTGGGTATTTCTATATGAGCAAGTGGGTATGAAATTGACATAATTAGACAGTATGCGATGTAAATTACCTGTTACAATTGTGTTTCTCACATAAAACCGATTGAACTCATGTAGACAAAGTTGAGAACAATTGGCACTTCATGATCCACACAAAAACCCTTTTGAAAGAAGCCAAAAGCAGGTGTAAGAACTGCCAGTTACAAAACTTTGATATGTAAATTAAGTAGATAACAATTTGGAAAGCTAATATGTGCTGTCATCTCACATGAGAGACAAGAATAGAGTCAATGAGGTAACTACTAATGAAGAGGGGAGGGGATGAATCAATTGTCTAGGGAAAGAAAAGTGTTTCCTAATCTATAAACCCATAATGTCTAAATATCTCATTTCTTCATTGTTGAATCTTCTAGTGATCTAGCCATCTTTGTGAGATTGGTGAGCATTCAAGGAAAGAAGACATCCCTTCAAAACAGAATCTTCCATTTTTATGCTTACTGTAATTTGCCACCCAGTATAAGAGGAGACCAATTCTCAAACACATCTCACTCCCAGAACAGTTCTTCTGCCACCTTCACTCAGTTTCCAGCAACAAAGTGGTAGTGATGTAGGTTATCTGTTCTCTACCTTCTCTTTTAATCACATACTTCTCTTGATATGTTATTAACCTAACCAGTATTCTCAGATCAAAAATGGCTGATGAGGAAGCAAGGGGTGAAGCAGAAGAGCAGGCAGCGAAGAAAGGCAAGGGGAAGAAGGCTTTCAAGTGCCGGTACTGCGACCGGGTGTTTGCAACCTCGCAAGCACTTGGTGGCCACCAAAACGGCCACCGCCGGGAACGGGATGCTGCCAGAAGGGCTGAGCGTGCAGCCGAGCTCTTCTACAGCATGCAGACGACACCAGTGCCCATGCTCTCATTCCCATCATTTCTTCACTCCAGTCAGCCGCTTGTGCATGCTGCCAGAGGCCATCTCCGGCAGCCGCTGTGCCCACCATATCACCCTGTGCCACCCTCTGCTCACTACCAGCATTACCATCCACCTTATAGCTTCGACAACAACGTGGAAGCCACATCGAGGATTGATCCAAGGTACAGTTTCTCGGTTTCCCCTTATGGTGGGCATGTGCTAAGAGACGAGGAGAGCTCAAGAACTGCAAACTGTCAAAGAAGCTACAACCCTAAAATTGCTGGTAATGCAAGGGCACCGCAAGAAATGGCACAGGTGACCATGCAAGTCCCATCAGCATCCACAAACATAACCTTAGAATTTAAGCAAGACAGTGTTTGCGCTGAGGATGGTAAGAATGGCAATGAAGATAAGATAGACCTTACTCTTCATCTATGATGGCAAATACAACTATATATATTATTGGATTTATCTCAAAAAAATAAGGATTTTGATTCTTCTATTTCCACTCACAAAACTGATATATCAGTAATCAACTTGTTGTTACCTACTATTGTTCAAGTATGATTTTATATTCCACATTTCTAGAATATGCTGGTTCTCTATAGAGGGAACAATTGTATCTGGCCTAAGTAAACCATCATTAGTCTGAAAAAAAGAAACAAGATCACAAGCATCTATAAGAAGAGAGGCTCCCATTTAAATTTGGTACCTTCTTGGGAACACAATTAATCTAGCCACTGAATTTGGCCTATATAAGACAATAGATTGTGTATATAATTAATGCACACATTTAGCCAGAGAGTATACAACCTTGTTCTTCTCCATCAACAGATCCTTAGATTCTTGTCAAAATCTAACTAATAGTTCCATGAGAGATCTAATATGTCATACAAAACTACTATTCTGAGTCTCTGACATCAACCCAGCTTAATCTTTGAGTTGCAACAATTCATGGCAATCCATTCTTCAATAGCGTTTTTATCGTTGTCCAGCTACCCAATTCATGGCAATCCCATTCAACCACTTTGAGTACTTGTGCAGAAACCACTTTGTTCCTTTGTCACAATTTGATATCAAGCAAGTCTGAAGTAATTGAATACTTTTCTGAATTTTTTTTTTTTTTTGAAATGAACTTGCTATAAGTGACAACTCTAAGTTGGACCTCATCATTTTTCCCATAAGAGATCTTGAGCAAAAAAATTGCTGCTAAATATGTACCATCAATTATTTCATATGTGACTAGGGGCCAAATCAAAACAAGATACCAAATTGTGCTCATTTGGGCATAGATCCAAGTTTCCAATCTTTGTTTGTTTACTTGATAATTTTTTATATTTCCAACGGTATGAAAATATTATTGTGCCTGGATATCTTTATCTCCTTCCTGGAAATAAATATCTCGAAAATGATATTTTTATATATTTCTTGGGAGCAATGAGACCATAATTATAATATTCATGGATAAACAGCCAAGATGAAGGTAACATCTTATATCCAAGACTGAAGAGGGACAGTATATATCTAAAAGACAAATTAAATGTGATGCTTTATCATGTAAAAAGGAAATTTTAAATGAATAATTATTAGCAATTTGAACAGTTGTAACTGACAAACACTAGTCAACAACTACAAATTGCAGAAAACACACAAAACAACAAAGATAGTCCAGTAGCATCAACATTGATAAATCAATTGTCTTCATAACCAGTTCCAATGAAACAAATTTGATACACCAGAGAAAATCCAAAAGGAGTTTATGGTTCCTCCACAACATTAATAAATCAAACTTGTCTTCATAACCGGTTTTAATAAAAATCTTTGATAGAAACCAGAACAAGTTCAAAGTTCAACAAGACCGACTGTAGTGACCCACAAAAACATCACAACTGCATAATAAATACTCACATTCCCAGACTTCAGAGCAAATATCATTCTCCACGAAATTGCAAGAAAAGATGAGAAGAATATTTCAATATGGAATCACCTGTATGATTCTGGGCGCTTGGGTTTGCTTTGAATGATTGCCTCTATCCTTTCAAGTACGTCAGGTGTCAGCTTGGGAATGACCTCAAGAGCCTTCATGTTCTCTACAATCTGTGTCAGAGACATCCTCAACTAAGGAAATTGCAACTAACAAGAAACAAAGTATGTAGACAAAGTATGAGAAATTGATATCTTATGTGAAACCAAATTTGACAATCCAACTCACAATTGGCAATATGGATCAATCTTGATCCGATCCAAATCTAAATCCTAATATCCAATCATGTTAGAGCACACCACCTATTGTTTTGTCAACATTTGATACATTATCATGCTGCAACTACCTTGTTTTTCCCATAATAAAGCATATTTCTTCCTTTTCTTTTGTTCTTCTGTTGATAATTTGCTTCCTTGATCCCAACTTGACAAGGAAAAAATGCTGTTTAATAATCGTCTTCTCCCATGTGGAGGATTATATATAAAGACACCAATGGAGTTCTGTTTAGGTGGCAGCAATTTCAAAGAACCCTTTCTATATATAATTATAACACTTGGATGCTTTACTAAGTTCACCTTATTTCATACTTTGCTCGAATACCTTTTTTCACTGAGCCTCTATTATACCTACATAATATATTGTTCAAAGAATTTTTTGATATTAATTATAAAAATCAAAGAAATTGAATAAGTACTCTAGATTGTCCATCAGTAATATTGAACAAGTTGCTTCAAGTCTAGAAGTAAAAAAAATGGAAGGCGTAAAATGCTATATAGATTACAATTAATTGCATATGCTAGACGTTGAACATATATTACATACCTGACTCTCCTTGGTGGCACCAGTTATTACTGATGAAACATGTGGATTTGATGCACACCAAGCAATCGCAAGTTGAGATAAGGGAACTCCTAGTTCATCTGCAATTGGCTTCAGTCCATTTACTTTTCTTAGTGTGTCGTTAACCAGTGATCTGCTTGCAAGATTCTACAGGCACAAAACTATAATTAGAATCCAAAATTAAAAAAAAAACTATATGTTTAAATTAAAAAGATTGAAAAATTAGATTGCTATGATAACCCTGATTGACTACATAGACTAGCAAGAAAAAAAAGTACTAGAAGAGAAACAAGAATAACCCTGATTGAGATTTTTATCACTGGTTATGAAATTTTTGGTGTTTCCTTGTAGCATAATCATTCACCATATCCAATCAAAACTTATGAAAATAATTACCATCTCTCAATTGTACCCCTAACCTTGAACTGTAAATATAATATTAAAGAAAACATGTATAAATGTGGTATTTGAAATAGCATTCCATCATTGTATAGTGGTATACAACACCTTCATTTTGTTCCACTTGTTCATCAGCAAGTGACAACTTTTTATAAGTATTTATTCCTTTCCATATTCCCATAATAATTGGGACTTATTGAATTTTCTCAAAACAAGACATGATTGGAAACAAGGTTTGGAATCTAGTAATAATGCCGATAGGTTGGCAGCCGGACTGATACGGTAGCAATACAAAATGACATACCAACAATCATTAGAGGTCAATATAGCTGCAGATCTCAGAGAAAGAGAAAGAAAGAGAGAGGAGGAGGGGGTGATGCAAGAAGGAAGTGGTAGTGATGTGAAGAGACAACAACGCCAGCACGAGGAGGAAGAGGAGGCAGCAAAGGAAGCAACAAATGTGGAGGTAGGGTGGAGGCAGAGGAGGCTGCGAGAGAGACAGAGGGAGAGAGGAGGAAGAGAAGGAGGAGGCGAAACTGTAAAGGGGGGGGAGGAGTAAGAGAGAAGCTGTCAACAGCTTGACAAAAGGAGAGTAAAGAGGGCTCCTATTTAAAAAAAAATTAAAAGTAAAAAAAAAAAAGAAGTCCAAGTATTGGGTGATAGGCTTATCACCCAATACGCATGTGTACCATCATATTTCAACTGGACTGCCCAGCACATAAAGATACCATCTGATGAATGCTATTCCAAGCCAGACATGACGACATTGCACAGAAACTGTCAACAGAGAGAAGCTGTAAGAGAGAGGGGGAGGAGAAGGAGGAGGAGGAGGAGAAACTGTAAGAGAGAGGGGGAGTAAGAGAGAAGCTGTCAACAGCTTGACAAAAGAAGAGTAAAGAGGGCTCCTGTTTAAAACAATTTAAAAAGTTAAAAAAAAAAGAAGTCCAGTATTGGGTGATAGGCTTATCACCCAATAGACGTGTGTACCATCATATTTCAACTGGACTGCCCAGCACATAAAGATACCACATAAAGACAACATTGCACAGAAGCTGTCAACAGAGAGAAGCTGTAAGAGAGAGGGGGAGGAGGAGGAGGCGAAACTGTAAGAAAGAGGGGGAGTAAGAGAGAAGCTGTCAACAGCTTGACAAAAGAAGAGTAAAGAGGGCTCCTATTTAAAAATTTTTAAAAAGTAAAAAAAAAAAAGAAGTCCCAGTATTGGGTGATAGGCGTATCACCCGATACACACGTGTACCATCATATTTCAACTGGACTGCCCAGCCCATAAAGATACCATATGATGAACACTATTCCAAACTGGACATGACAACATTGCACAGTCTGCATAGCAAATTAGCTATCATGGCTCAGACTGATAAAAACCTAATCATATGAATCGGTATGGTCAGTTTTTTGAACCTTGGTTCAAAGTCGACTATATTTATAGCATGGAATATAAATGATAAAAATAAAGAAACTAGCTCAAACCTCAGTCTCTTTTTGACAGTGCTACAGAAGCTCATTCTGGTTTGGACATTGCATACTCCAACAGCATGATGATTTCATGGGATTACCTACCCCTAACGGAATATAGCATGGCATGGATGGCACAAATTCAATATTATCCAAATTATCAAATTGGTCTGTTGCAATTCAACTCTAAGCTTACTAATCAAAGTAAACAAAAACTACATAGTTGCATATAACAAGTGAATTAGTGTCTCCAACCTCACCTTGTAATTCTCAAGTGCAAACCGACTGTCAGCAGGTACATTTCCTTTACTGTATTTCCCAGTCAGCACTCCCGATGCTAATGGACTCCATGTGGTGAGACCCAGGCCATACGTGCTGTACAGAGGAAGGTATTCTACTTCAACCTGTATCAACATCGAAAAGATAACAAGCACAATATTTGTTTAATAAATTTTCAGTTAAAGTTTCCACAAAATATTTAATGTTAAATAAAAACAGGAGATACCAATAACATTCTAGTTCTCGACTGATTAGCAAGGCTATGTGCTGACAAGTTTTATAGACTTCAGCACAATAAGTGGAAGGCTACCCATGTTGCACATCATCCATTTCCCAAGGTATTTCAAAGATTAAATTGAACAGGTTTTCAGATTGACACACTACTTCATTTTGGATTAGTTGTGTGTTCTATTTAATGGGCTTCCTCAAAGTATGGTTGGGGAACAAAATGATTGATCCTGTTACAGTTTGACCGATATCTCACTCCTGTTATATAAAAACATACAAATCTACACTACCTGATTGTAATGAAACAGAAAACAAGATGGTGAATCATTACAAGGCATCAACCATTATTCGAACTTCTGTACTTATTGTTATATAATGATCCACTTCTGAATGGAAAAAAAAACTTTTGTCTTTACTGCATCATATATCTCATCTTTTCTGGTGAGCTTACCACACCTTTAGCTAATATGTTTTTTCATGACCATACAAGTGGACATCCATAGAATAACTTGATGTTCTGACTTTCTGGTCTTAAAAAATCTCATGCTAAATAGCAATGTTAACAAGACCTGTTTAGTGTTAATTCTATATGCAACCTCTAATTTCATTATATTGGCTAGTCAAAGCTGCAGAGATCTGACATGGTTACCACTAATCTGCAGTTACCTCTTTTGCTTCAAAAAGGTTTTGCTGCTTTGATTAAAAGAAGATACTTCAAGAACATAATAGCTATTTTTTGTGCCAGCACAACTTGAAGCATCAAGACCCACACCGAGAGAAGGAAATCCATCACAAGGGGTGAAGAGCAACAGCAAAAGGAGATGTCATAATGAAAATTTAAACCTTCAACGTAAGACCCAAATACATTATCATTGGCTAGCTGGTAGTGTTTAGCCAATTTAATATTAAAGCAAATATTTTTGTCAGCCATCATTTTCCTGGATAATTAAAGCAATTTAGCCAACAGCAACGATCATTAGGCTTTAAATTTTCACATGCTACCATTTCAGCTCAAACGAAGCTAAATGAACATCTATCTCATGCTAGAAAATTAAATTAGAATATCATTTCCCATGCAGAGTAATTGCTTTAGAGAAAGTTCAACCATAGAATGCTACTGAAAAAATACACCGTCTTGAGCAGAAGTAACATTCGAGAATAGATATGAAGAATGTGACATGACAGAACACTTAAAAAAGAAAAACTAAATACTTTGCTCTTAAAGGTGAGACACAACTGATAAAAAAAAAAGCTCCCCTAAAAAAATTTGCACAAAAAATCTAAGCATAGGAAACTCATTCTCAATTTAGTGAGTATGAGTTCCAAACAAGATTGAACCAGGGGAGAATCAATTAGTCAGCCACCAAATCAAGATCCTTCAACAAAATCATATTTTTACCCTTACTGCATAACGAATATAGCAAATCTCACTATGTATTACCAGCATGATGAAGCGAAATGCATCTACAGATCAAGTAAAAGAAATACTTAAGATCTAAAGACTAAGAGGTCAAAGGAGGGATTCTCTTTCCAAAAAGAAAGAAGGAAAAAGAATTACCACCATACAGATCACATCATAGAGATCTTAGCATTCACTAGATCTGAACCATGATAGAGTAGATAAGATCATGTTGGATCGGATCGGATCACATTACCTTGTGCCGAGAGAGGAGGTTGTACTCGGGCTGCTCGACGACAGGGCCGACGAGGTCGAGGCGGGAGGCGATGGCCCAGGCCTCAGTGATCTGCTGGGCGGACCACTCGGAAGTGCCCCAGTAGAATGCCCAGCCCTTGTCGATGATATGGTTCATGGCGCGGACGGTCTCCTCGATGGGGGTGGCGGCGTCAGGGCGGTGGCACAAGACGACGTCGACGTAGTCCATGTCGAGGCGGCGGAGGGAGGCGCGGGTGCCCTCGACGAGGTGCTTCCGGGAGAGGCCCTTGTCGTTGGGACCGGGGCCGCCCCAGAAGATCTTGGTGGACACGACAATGTCGGACCGGCGCCAACCGAGCTCGCGGATGGCCTGGCCCATGATCTCCTCCGCTCGGCCGTTGGCGTAGACCTCGGCGTTGTCGAAGAAGTTCACGCCGTGGTCGCGGCAGCACTGCAGCAGGATCTTCGCCTCCTTGACATCGACCTGGTTCCCGAACGTGACCCACGCCCCGTACGAGAGCTGGCTCACCTTCAACCCCGATCGCCCCAAGTTCTTGTACTGCATCTTGGCTTTCTTCCTCTTCTTCGTCTCTCACCCCCCCCTCTTCGAGACAGATCTGATCTGCTCCTCCTCTTCTTCTTCGTGTACAATGTTTCTATTTGAGCAGATCTGAGGATGAACTCACCGCTGCCGAAGTGAACTGGAACAAGGAAAAGCGACACGAGGATTTAGACGGTATATAAAGACGGAGCTCACCGCAGGTGCTTTACTCATTTATTACTGCAGGGAGACACGAAGAAGAAGAAGAAGAAGAAGAGTAGAAAGAGAGAGAGAGAAAAAAATGGGACCCAGAAGCTGTAGATGGGGCCCAAAACCACTGACACAATCTCTACCTGTTCTGTGATTGGGTCAGGAGATGGGGTCCAGAAAATGTAATTAATTTATTAATTACAAGGAAACTCATTATCTCTAAGTTATTTATTTATTAGTTCTATGTTTGCATGTTGGTGATTCTAATTTGATGGAACTATAATTGGATGTTAAGAATGGAGTGTTAGTGAATCCAAATATCTTGATAGAATTAGATAGAAAAAAGAAATTAATTTTTTTATATAGGAAGGCTATGCAAATGAATTTTTTTAAAAATCATTGACACATAAATTTGACTTAATAAATGCTGATAAAATAATTGACACAGAAATTATAGAATCAAATTATCCAAAATTATTTTTATTACTGATGAAATCAAATCTAATGTTGGAGAGCTAAAGAATAAATGTCTTGCGAAGGATCAAAGGTGACTTCTCCTCCAAAGATGCCTTTTAGAATCCATCCCGAAAAGACAAAAGAAAATTGAGGTTCAAATTCAAAAGCAAATAATTTCTCATTGGTCAAACGCTCATAGCCAATACAACTGTATGATATATTAGTGTGAATTCTCACTCGTTTCTTATGGATCAAGAAAATATCTTTTCAGATATGTTATAATAAGTAGCAATGTTAATCTCATTGTCTTAAAAAATAATAATAATAAGCAATACATAAATTGAGAATTTACCCTTTTTTATGTTGAATAATTTCTATGCATTTGTTTTCATCCCGATAAAATATTTAGTTTGATATTAATTAAATAGAGGAATCAAGGATTTATAAGCTTGTTGAGTCAGACACTCAAATATTGTACTCATAGACGATTAACTTTATTGGACATGTCACGTTAACAATATACAACATAATCATAGTACTTAAAAAAGAATATTTCTCATTAAATTGATGATTATAAAACTATAACTATAGAAGGTTATTTTTTTCAAATACATATTTATTTTTTTAAATTGACCAAATCAACCTTAAGCTCTTGAGCTCGGTTTAATTTGAATCGAAATTGAGTCGGATCAAAAATCGAAATTCAAATCGAGCTTGAATCCATATTCGTCAAATTAGTTCTAAATACTATAATTCCGATTTTGATTGGAACATCAGTTTTGTAATTTTATTATTTTTATTATTAAAAAATATAATTTTTATAAATTTTAAATTTAAAAATAATAAAAAAAATTGATGGTTTAAATTAGAATTGAAACCATATGTTCCGTGGTCCTGACGTACTTATAAATAATTTTCCCACACAATAAATTTGTTAAAATTATTTTAATTATGTAGAGATTTTGTTAGACATACTTTCGATCTAATAACTTATAAGACATAAGTTATGACTATTTTATACTTTCGTATTGAAGTGAGATACAGTATGTAGGGCATATATAAGTGGCATTCTTCCTATATTAATTTTATTACTTAAGATTCACGATCATAATTAATTAATTTAATTGATTATAATATCATATCTTTTCACAATCGATCTTATTTTAATATTATAATTTATATATAACCATATAATTCGATTTTTTTTCCATCTCAACCTTAATTAATTGCCTGGTGCCCAATATAAACGTTTTCTCCTCGAGTTAAATTATGTTAATCGTTCGAATATTCTTCCCATTTCAAATATTATCAAGAAATAAATAATATTATATTAATTTTATCATATCGAATTGATGATCAAAATTAGCCTGATTAAATATCATGTATTTTCACAACTAATCTTATTTTTTATATTAGAATTCATATAATCATATATTTATCTTTTTCTTGATTAAAAATATTAAAAAATACTCTTAAAATATTAAATTAATTTTATCATATGTTATAATATTAGATTTGATAAAAATATTTAGTCTCACATTGGTTGAAGTGTAAAGGAACTAAAGATTTATAAACTTGTCGGATCACTCTTATCCTTATAAGAGCCTTTTGGGGCTCACGAGTCTCGAAAATGTTAAATCGTATGGGAAAGTTCAAAACAAATAATTCATTATGAGATTACGGGTCACACTAGTGATGCTCAAATGTTGACTTATTGGAATGATACTAGAAGAAGGTACATGAGCTCTTAGCTCTCCTACGAAGGGGGCACTGATATGGATATTTAGTCCTATATTGGATGAGAAGTAAGCGAACCAATGACTTATATACCTATCGGGTCACCCTTACCCTTAGATATATCTTTTGATGCTCACGAGTTTTGAAAGGGCAAAATTATACTACCAATGATTTCTTGTGAGCCTACGAGGTCATATCAATAACGACCAAAATTAGGTGAAATTATATATTATAATTCATATATCAAATTAAGTAAAATTCTCCCCGATTAATCGAATCATTTTCGATTAAAAATAATCATATTTTAATATTATAATTTATATAGCCATGTACTCCTCTCTCTCTCTCTTGATTAAAAATTATGTCTCCTCAACCTTACTAGCAATCTTCATGCAAATATTCAAGACATCTGTTTTTGTTTGCAACTGCCCTTATCTCATCATACTTTCTATTGTAAGCAATTATCCTCTTCAAATCATGTGGCTAAATTATCTATTATATACAATTAATGCTTTGGAGAGAATACTTAAGAGCTTATAAGTCCGTCAAGTCACACTTATCCTCAGAGGTTTCGGACATAACCGTGCACCTAAAATAGATAATTTCTCACGAGCCTACGTGGTCGCTCATTAGTCCTAAAAAGGTAAAACAATGCATCCAAAATAGATAATTTCTCATGAGCCTACGAGGTCATATTAATGACAACCAAAATTAAATGAAATTACATGATATAATTCATATAATATCAAATTAAGTGAAATTATTTTTTATCAATCAAATTTTTTTTATCAAAATTAACTAACTTTATATATTATAATATCATGATTCACAATATCATTTTTTTCTCACAACTAATCATATTTTAATATTCTAATCCATACCATCTACTCTCCTCTCTCTCTCTCTTGATTAAAAGTTATATCTTCTCCATCTTACTTGTAATCTTCATACAAATATTCAAGATATCTGTTTTTATTTGGAACTGCCCTTATCTTATTTGTCGAAACTTTCAAGCAATAATCTTCCTCAAATCATATGGCTAAATTATCTGTTATATACAATCAGATGCCTTGGAGAAGAGAACCAAGGGTTTATAAGCCTACTTGTTCACCCTTAACCTCAAAGACATTTTTTAGGACTCACGAATCGGTAAAACCATATACCCAAAACAGACAATTCCTTGCGAGCCTATGAGATTGCTCGTGAGTCATGAAAGAATAAAATTATGCACCTAAAGTGAATAATTTCTCGTGAGTTTATGGAGTCATACCAATGACGATCAAAATTAAGTGAAATCATATATTATAATTTATATAATATCAAATTATGTGAAATTCTTCCTATTCAATCGAATCTTTCAAAATTCTTTTAGATCAGAATCTTTTTGATCAAAATTAACCAACTTTATATATTATAATATCATATCTTCTCACAACTATTTATATTTTAATATTATAATTCAAATAACTATCTCCTCCTCCTCTCTCTCTTGATTAAAAATCATATCTCCTCAACCTTACAATATTTATGTAATCAATATATCCATTTTTGTTTGTAAGTGCCCTGATTTTATTTATCGATGCTTTTTGTTATAAACAATAATCCTCCTCAAATCATATGGCTAAATTATTTGTTATATATAATTAGACGCTTTAAAAGAGGGTACCAAGGGCTTATAAGCCTGCTAGATTACCCTTATCCTCAAAAGCATCTTCTGGGGCTCATAAATCCTTAAAAAATATAATCGTGCATCCAAAACGAATAATTCATCACGGCTCTACAAGGTCGCTCATGAGTCTTGAAAGGATAAAATCGTATACTCAAAACGAAAAATTTCTTATGAGTCTACGTGGTCATACCAATGACTACCAAAATTAAGTAAAATTATATATTATAATTCATATAATATTAAATTAAGTAAAATTCTTCTCGATTAATAGAATCTTTTTCAATCAAAATTAATCAATTTTATATAGTATAATATCATGATTCACAATATCATGTCTTCTCTTTAATATTCTAATCCATATACTTCTCTCTCTCTCTTTCTTGATTAAAAATAATATCGTCTCAACATTATAATTTTTATGCAAATATTTAAGATATCTATTTTTGTTTGCAAGTGCTCTTAACTTATTTGTCCATACTTTATGTTGTAAGCAATAATCCTCCTAAAATCATGTGGCTAAATTATCTCGTATATAAAGTCAAATGCTTCAGAGAGAGAAACCAAGGATTTGTAAATCTATCGAGTAATTCTTACCTTTAGAGACATTTTTGGGGCTTATAGATCCTGAAATAGCAAAACTATATGCCCAAAATAGATATTTCCTCGTGAGTCTATGAGGTCCCTCATGAGTCCTAAACGGATAAAATTATAGGTCCAAAATGGATAATTTCTCGTGAGTTTATGAGATCACACCAATGATAACCAAAATTAAGTGAAATTATACGTTATAATTTATATAATATCAAATTAAGTGAAATTCTTCCTTTTCAAATTCTTCTCGATCAATCAAATATTTTTTGATAAAAATTAACCAACTTCATGGATTATAATATCATGATTCATAATATCATATCTTCTTACAACTAATTATATTTTAATATTATAATCCATATAATCATCTACTTTTCTCTCTCTTAATTAAAAATCATATCTTCTTAATTTTATTAGCAATCTTCATGTAAATATTCAAGACATATGTTTT